TTAAAATTTCAATGGAATTACCATAAGAATTCCCTCAGAGTTCCTTTGATTTTTTTTCTCTTCAACATTTCTTTTGGAATTCTCCTAGATTTTCTTCTCGGAATCCTTTAACCCTTCGAGAATTAAACTGAAAATGAACTCGACACTTCTTTCAAAATGATGTATTTTGGATCCGTTTTCTAATATTTTTATACTGCTGGAAAGGTTATTTTCTCAACTTCACATCAATATCCCGAGTAGCAAATTTCCGTCACAATAAGTTGCAGAAACTTGTTTATGACTGATTTAAGTTGTATAGAAGTTGCCACAACCGATTTGTGACATGCGTGCTACTAGGGATGTTGGTCAGCCCACCAATTTATGTCATTGCACCGTAATATCCAGCCAGATTATTATTTTGTACAATTTTTTTCCAGATGCCAGTACTTTTTCAGTAGTGCAATTAAAAATTCTACTATGTATTTTTATTAGCTTTCTGCGAAAATTATGCTAGGAGAAATCAATCATACTTAACTTGCTAAAATGGCTGGTCTACCGTCTAAACAAAAATTGAAATGCAAAAAAAAAAATGAATTTACTACCGTACCAACGACCATTACCATAAAAAGGGAAACTAATATTATTTTCAACAAAATAAAAACATCCGAAATCCATTGAAAATTATCGATGATATTCCAAAAATAGTGAAAATGTGATTTTGGTTCAGTGCTCAACGAGTTAAGAATACTTTCCAGATTTTTTTAGGATTTCCCTACAGAATACTCTTAGAATTATTCCAATTATCAATAAGAGGAAGAGACATTTGTTTTCCTCATTGGCCCCTTCTTGCTTCACCTATGGATAAAATGGGCTGTACTCCATTGGGGCCCGTTCAAATATTATGTAATGCAAAAATAGAATTTTTGAATACCCCCTTCCCCTCGTCACGCACTTTTCCTACATTGAATACATGGCGTTCAACGCATTGTCAGATTTTCCTCAGCCCCTCTTGCGTAACGTAATACTAGACTATATTTCATTCAAAGTGTATTTGAAATGGAGATGGAAATTGGTAGCAATATGTGCAGCATCTTGGCCCATCGGAGTTAAATTTCGTGAATTCCTCAGTTCGTCAAAACAAAACATGGAAGCCTAGATGTACTTGATATAAAAGTTGTCAGTTAGTTGATTATTATACTTATTGTTGTGTTGATAATGAATATAGTAGGGGAAATGGCTCTAATGTTGACCTACGGATCTAATATTGGGCCCATCGCTAAAAAGCTGCCATTTATCAACTTTATCTAGATGACCGCGTCAATGGAACGGTACTAATGGATATTTTTGGTCACTATTGAAAATTTAGTCGATTGCTGAATTTATGGGGCCCAAATTAGGGGCATTTAGGCCGACATTACATCCATTTTCCCTATTATGTGAATATATTGTTAATGTTTGGATAAAAAGCGTTGAATTAGACCACAATAAAGTCCGTTGAATTAGAATAATATAAACAAATATACAGCTAAACAAATGTCAATGGATTGAAACTAAAAAAAAAAAAAAATATATATATATAAATATATATATATATATATATATATATATATATATATATATATATATATATATAAATATATATATATATATATATATATATATATATATATATAAATATATATATATATATATATATATATATATATATATATATATATATATATATACTATATACTAGCTGAGTGTGCCTGGTCTTGCTCGGGATTCAATATTACCTTGAGTTTATGCGCCGATTTTTAAAAAAAACATGCTATATTGTACGTAGCCCCCTCCCCCCCTAATAACTAAGGGGCTACCCCCTATGATTATCTCCTTATACCCCCACACTCGCCTCCACATGCCTAATTTGGTTCCATTTGCTTGATTAGTTCTCGAGTTATGCAGAAATTTCTGTTTCATTTGTATGGGAGCCCCCCCCTTACAGAAGGGGGAGGGGTCTCGAACCATCATAAGAACCTTCCACGGCCCCAAAAACCCCTGTATACAAATTTTCACGCCAATCGGTTCAGTAGTTTCCGAGTCTATAAGGGTCAGACAGACAGACAGACAGACAGACAGACAGACAGACAGACAGACAGACAGACAGACAGACAGACAGACAGACAGACAGACAGACAGACAGACAGACAGACAGACAGACAGACAGACAGACAGACAGACAGACAGACAGACAGACAGACAGACAGACAGACAGACAGACAGACAGACAGACAGACAGACAGACAGACAGACAGACAGACAGACAGACAGACAGACAGACAGACAGGACAGACAGACAGACAGACAGACAGACAGACAGACAGACAGACAGACAGACAGACAGACAGACAGACAGACAGACAGACAGACAGACAGACAGACAGACAGACAGACAGACAGACAGACAGACAGACAGACAGACAGACAGACAGACAGACAGACAGACAGACAGACAGACAGACAGACAGACAGACAGACAGACAGACAGACAGACAGACAGACAGACAGACAGACAGACAGACAGACAGACAGACAGACAGACAGACAGACAGACAGACAGACAGACAGACAGACAGACAGACAGACAGACAGACAGACAGACAGACAGACAGACAGACAGACAGACAGACAGACAGACAGACAGACAGACAGACAGACAGACAGACAGACAGACAGACAGACAGACAGACAGACAGACAGACCAGACAGACAGACAGACAGACAGACAGACAGACAGACAGACAGACAGACAGACAGACAGACAGACAGACAGACAGACAGACAGACAGACAGACAGACAGACAGACAGACAGACAGACAGACAGACAGACAGACAGACAGACAGACAGACAGACAGACAGACAGACAGACAGACAGACAGACAGACAGACAGACAGACAGACAGACAGACAGACAGACAGACAGACAGACAGACAGACAGACAGACAGACAGACAGACAGACAGACAGACAGACAGACAGACAGACAGACAGACAGACAGACAGACAGACAGACAGACAGACAGACAGACAGACAGACAGACAGACAGACAGACAGACAGACAGACAGACAGACAGACAGACAGACAGACAGACAGACAGACAGACAGACAGACAGACAGACAGACAGACAGACAGACAGACAGACAGACAGACAGACAGACAGACAGACAGACAGACAGACAGACAGACAGACAGACAGACAGACAGACAGACAGACAGACAGACAGACAGACAGACAGACAGACAGACAGACAGACAGACAGACAGACAGACAGACAGACAGACAGACAGACAGACAGACAGACAGACAGACAGACAGACAGACAGACAGACAGACAGACAGACAGACAGACAGACAGACAGACAGACAGACAGACAGACAGACAGACAGACAGACAGACAGACAGACAGACAGACAGACAGACAGACAGACAGACAGACAGACAGACAGACAGACAGACAGACAGACAGACAGACAGACAGACAGACAGACAGACAGACAGACAGACAGACAGACAGACAGACAGACAGACAGACAGACAGACAGACAGACAGACAGACAGACAGACAGACAGACAGACAGACAGACAGACAGACAGACAGACAGACAGACAGACAGACAGACAGACAGACAGACAGACAGACAGACAGACAGACAGACAGACAGACAGACAGACAGACAGACAGACAGACAGACAGACAGACAGACAGACAGACAGACAGACAGACAGACAGACAGACAGACAGACAGACAGACAGACAGACAGACAGACAGACAGACAGACAGACAGACAGACAGACAGACAGACAGACAGACAGACAGACAGACAGACAGACAGACAGACAGACAGACAGACAGACAGACAGACAGACAGACAGACAGACAGACAGACAGACAGACAGACAGACAGACAGACAGACAGACAGACAGACAGACAGACAGACAGACAGACAGACAGACAGACAGACAGACAGACAGACAGACAGACAGACAGACAGACAGACAGACAGACAGACAGACAGACAGACAGACAGACAGACAGACAGACAGACAGACAGACAGACAGACAGACAGACAGACAGACAGACAGACAGACAGACAGACAGACAGACAGACAGACAGACAGACAGACAGACAGACAGACAGACAGACAGACAGACAGACAGACAGACAGACAGACAGACAGACAGACAGACAGACAGACAGACAGACAGACAGACAGACAGACAGACAGACAGACAGACAGACAGACAGACAGACAGACAGACAGACAGACAGACAGACAGACAGACAGACAGACAGACAGACAGACAGACAGACAGACAGACAGACAGACAGACAGACAGACAGACAGACAGACAGACAGACAGACAGACAGACAGACAGACAGACAGACAGACAGACAGACAGACAGACAGACAGACAGACAGACAGACAGACAGACAGACAGACAGACAGACAGACAGACAGACAGACAGACAGACAGACAGACAGACAGACAGACAGACAGACAGACAGACAGACAGACAGACAGACAGACAGACAGACAGACAGACAGACAGACAGACAGATTTTCTGATTTTTATCTCTCAATCTATGAAATATACACGAAAACTATGTTTGAACTGGAGTATTCAAAATAAGTTACATCATAACAGCAAATTTTGATTTGAATTTGATCTCCAGCTTTGCTCGGGTACGCCACCCCTTACTATCGTAATAGTAGCTTTAATCCCGAGTTTTAAGCATATTGAATGCTGAAAGGAACAACAAGGAACATCTCGACGGTCTTTATCGCATCAAATGTTCAAACGAATCCGATCAACAGCACTGAACGGTATAGCAAATTACTCGGTCACGGGGTTATATTTCACCTGACAAATTATCTCGAATGGGATTTTGGCATCCGATAAATTGATGCCATGTGAACTGAATTATTTGACCAAACAACTGTTCAGCTTCTGTTCAAGATTTATCACTAAATTAGTGTTGACCTACGTGCTACTTACCTCGTACAAGTTGAACATAAATTTTTTCGCCTCCCTTTTTAGCAGGTCATAAAGCATCAGCATGTGAATGTATGGCTTAGTGGGCGGTACACGTTTCCTCCCACTTCCTCCTTTCATGATACTACTGCTGCTGACGCTATCGTGTCGATTATCCATCAGGTGAGGCTTGTTGCCACCGGCTATGTTTATCTGCTGCAAATCTGTCTCACTTTCACGATATTTGTCATCATAGATTTTCCGAAATTCATTAACATTGTCCTTATCCAATAATGCTGGCAATTCATAACGTTCACCCTCGATGTCTTCCAGCAGCCGAAGTGGCAAGGGATCCAACAGTTGAAGGTTGTAGTCTGAAACCAGAAACACTTATAATAAACCCGGTCGGTATTTTGTGCGCTCAATATGGTGATGGAACCTTAAGTAGTAGAGTACTTTAGTAGGCTTTTTCGCCACTTGGACAAATTGTGATTGATTTGGATCATGAAAGTTAAAGACAAACCATTTAAGACTTTATGGTCAATTTTGTGTCAATATTTTTTTTCAATAGACCTTGCTGAATTTAGGGTGATCATGAATAATGAATGTAAGTAGGGTAGCGTACCACTTCGGCAGAAGTGCCGATTTCCGTCATTTCGAGCAGAAACATCAAATATATAAAATATTTCGACGTGATCGAAACAATCATACATTCGGTACGAACAATGTCTATAAAAACGCATAATATGAATATTTTCATCCATTCTTCTCAACATCAAAAGAAGCGCTTCTAGCGAATCATTTTTGTCTGCCTTCATCATTGGAATCAAGAAGTAGTGTTAGATTTTTGTGGAAAGCTAAATAAATTTAGAAGTCATATTTAATAGATACATTCCATTTTATGTTCAAACCCGTTCGAATAAAAGATAGGTAAAGTGCGGGTTGTGCTTAGTATGCTTTTCTGAATAGCTAGACAATATTTGATGGGTGAAGAGTGTGTCTTTGTATACATAGAATCTCAAAAATATATGATGTTGTTTTGATGTGGTGCTCCTTTAGTTTAATAAGCAATTTGTCATTTGATCTCAGAACGTCCTCATCGTTCTATTTGAGGTTCAACAGTTGGTCGAAGCAAACCGCATTTAAGATAAGGAACCTACCATTATCTAATTTAATTTGCTTGTATTTATTTTGCAGGAACCATTCGAAAAACTGTTTATCATTCCAGAGTAAAGTTTCTGCGGTTTCCGTGCTTGGTATCGTCGTTTGCTCCTGGGCGCTCGTGCTTGAAATAGTAGCAGTGGCAAAAGAAGACTGTGTTGGTGGTGGCTTTTCTGGTCCAAAGTAGCCCGGCTTGTGGAGTGCTGTCGGTCGTTGTGTTGGAACTGTGAAACAGATGAAACATTTGCCCATTTTCAGTAGTGTAATATGATACCGTTCTCAGAAGCAGACTGATACGCAAAGCACCTTGGTAATGATGCGGTAGTATTTGAGGTTGATGTTGCTTTTTTATAGTATCTATACTGTGAGAGAAAATTACGTACCTGCAGCTGTTGTGGTCGTTGGTTTTGCCGTTGTAGTCGACGGTGTCACAGGTTCATATTGAATCGATTCAATGCAGTGCTGGAGTAGTTGCATTGATGCGGGAATGAAATTTGTCAGCAATTTAGGAGGTGGCGTGGATTGTTCCGGTGTGGGTGTGCCTGGTACAGGAGCGTTTTGAAGGTCAGATTCGACTGACTAAGTTTTAGCGAATAAATAAATAAAGGTTTTCAATGTGATGCTCTGAAATGATATTATCTATTCTAATCTCTGTCAAAAGATGAATGGATTCTAGCCCATAGGTCAAGGTCATAGACCAATCGATTAAACTGTGGATGATCTGAGATAGTGATTGTGTGTGTGTGTGTGTGTTTTTTTTACCTCCACTTTCCTTGCACCGATATGAGCCCAGTAGGTCCTTGGATCAGATCTACATCAGTTCTTAATATAAAATGTATAAAATCAAACGATTGATTTGCAATAGTTTTCGAAGGCAGATTCGGAATTTATAGTACGTTCAGACTACAGAGTTATAACATGTTATAGCGCTATCTTGATGGTGGTTTCTGTGTTGCAATTTTTTGACAACCGTTATAACATGTTATAACTCTCCAGTCTGAACAAGGCATTACGCAGCTATTTAACGGTTATAATACCACGGCTGCAAACAGCGTACTGCAGACAACTGCAGCGTGTCGATTCATGACATACACTTAAAAAAATAAATCTCTTTTTCAATGGAAAATATCCATGTGCATTTCACATAATTTTCATCATAATTGTAAATCGCACCACAGAATCACATGGTCCCCAAATCAACCAAATATTACGTTTCCCAAGAATTCTATCTGGCAACCACTGAACCGAAACGCAACAATCACCAAATTAAAGGATTAATGGTCCCATAGAACATTTTAGATTATTTTTGGAATCGGTCAAGTGGTTACAATTAGCGGCACCGGTGGTGTAGTGGTAAGCGTGATTGCCTCTCACCCTAAAAGGCCTGTGTTCAATCCCAGTCGGTGCCGCCGGGATTTTCTGATCCATACAATCTCTGATCACGCCTTCCTTCGGAAGGGAAGTAAAGCCGTTGGTCCCCGGTTCATGAAGTTGATCATGAAGTTGAAGTAGGGCCCAGGTGTGGGAGCTGCCTTCCTGGCGTCGGTATCATTGGTACTAAGTACGGAAAACACGATCGACGGAAAACAAATCAAGGAAAAAAAAAAAGAAGTTGTTCCGGAGATATGAACGGGACAAGATCTGATAATCACGGATTTTGTGAACTAAGTCTTGTTTCTCGGCAACCAGTGATTTGAATTGGACGCTACAACTGCCAAATGAAAGGTTTCATGGACCCATAGACCGTTTATGAAATTGGTTTTGGTGGAAATTGGTTAAATATGTATAAAATTGGTCAACTGGCTCCCGAGATATGGCTGGAACATGTTCCGGTTTGTATGGGCCACGTTTCTTAATCAAACCTGAAGCGAATAAAACCCATCACTTCAATTGAGAATTTAAAAATACTTCAATGATCTTTTGAAGTGCCCAGGTGATCACATCCATGTTCCGGTACCCAGGAAAAGTGACCAGTATCTGACTGTGGTCAAAATCAATTAAGTAATACCCCAAATTATTTGAGACTTCAAAAACCAGTTCAATGATCGTCATTTGGAAAGCCTTTAACCTGATGGTGACATCCGACCATGTTCCGGGAAACCTCAGGGAAGTGGCCAGTTTGTGACTAGGGTCGAAATCCATCATGCGATACCTCAAATCACATTAGAATTCATCTATTACTTCACATTATATGAGTACTTTTGCCGGAATCTCTAACCATTTTTTTTTTTTTTTCATAGTCACTTTAACACTTTTGGGTCATTCGTGACTTGTCCGGGGGTGAGATTTGAACTCGTGACTTTGGCGTGAGAGGTATGGATGTTAACCACTACGCCGGGGTCGCCCCGGGGATCAGACCTTACCATAGGTGAATATAATTGGGTTTTTGAAAATGCAAAGATTCCTGATTAAAGTGGATAGCCACGCTGTTTTTTTTTAATTGCATACACTCTTGAGCATAATGGAAATATGTCATCACCATATCGATTTTGCTATTGGGTGGCCAGAAAACAGTCTTCCAGATCCACCGAAAAAGTGGAAATTTTCCAGAAAGTTGAGTGATTTTTTTTTAAATCTAAATATTCCTGACTAAAATGGATATACCTCAACACCATACTGATTCAAACATCCGGTAACCATAAATCCCCTTCCTGATACCTGGATTTACTGGGAAAATGCTTAGAATTCTGAACTTCTTTTTTTCTAAAGGGTGTCCCACATTAAATTGCATCATGGAAAAAACGCTGTAGAAAATAACTTAGTTGACAGATCTTTTTCAAACTTTCAGACAATAAAACGTAACCCATTAGTAAGCTTTTAGCATATTTATTTCATTCAACTTCAATATCATAACCGTACGCTCGCACCTTACGCATCAAACTGTATGTTTAATTGATTACTACTTTATCATATATACTACAGAAAGTTGTTAAGGAATGTTGGCATCCATACTTACTGTTTGTGATGGAAAAAACAAGTTACATGAAAGTTGATTAATCCGACACTTCTAATACGTGTGCAGGTGAAGTAAACAGCGGGCCTCAGATTGCCTTATGATTATAAGAGAAATTGTGTCAAACAACCTTTAATTTAATCGTTGACAACCTTTAATTTAATTGCTGATGCTGTTCTGCATGCAAAACTACAGTTTGACTGCTTTAAAACCGAATGGAATTCGGTAGATAGATTGAAGTTCTCTGCTATTTACATACAGTCACCGCAACATATTTTACATGAGTGTCTATGTTATGCGCCCAGCCTATCGTCCGTAGTCATTCCTGTAAACCACTAAATCACGCTCTCCCGATTAAAAAGTGCTACTCCCGTCCACACTTCTCGATCTTATTATGCTCTCACCCAGGTATGAAATCTCTCTCTCTCCTTTGTATCTTTCTCCAATCAAAGATAAGAGACACGCTCTCGTATTTGACAGCATCACAAGTATGTTTTGCGCCACTCTGAGTTTCTAGCCCATCACTGTACAAATCTCCCTTAAGTTTTACAAAATTTCCTCAACTTCTACGAAGTTCTCTGAATTTAGTCCAAATTCATTTTTTTCCATCCCTCTTAATTCTACGAAGATTTCTGAACATTTTTGAACTTCTGGAAAACCTCAATGATTTATAAATATTCTTGAACATCTGGTAAGTTTCTTGAAATTTAACGAATTTCCCAAAACTTCCGAAAAGCTCATTGAGGTTTTTTGAACTATGATGTCTGACAAACTGCAAAGAAGTTCCCTAAACTGAAACGACGATCCCTGCTGAACTATTTTTAGATCTTGTACAAAATTTCCTGCACTTATATGAAGTTGTATGCAGCTTTTCAAAACTTCTACAAAGTTTGCTGTTTGGTTGTAATTTACTTGAATCAACGTGTACGTAATTCCCTGAAATATTCCAGGCTCATGAGGCTTTAATAAAGTGTCCAGAAATTATATAGAGATCTCCGAACAATAATGGGGCTCCCTTAAATGTTTTACATCAACGATGATCCCCCCCAAACTATAATGGAGTTTCCACTTGTACGCAGTTTTTGAACTTTTAAAAAGCTCCCTGAATTTTTATGTTTTTTTTTTCTGAAGCTCTATGAAGTTCCCAGAATTTCAACTAAGTTTCGTTAATGTCTACGATGTTTCCTGAACTTCTTAGAAGTCCTTGAAATTTTATCTGTTCCCTGAGGGTAATGAAAAATTCCTGAACTCTTGGCCAATTTGTAGAACCTGAAGACGTCTTATTATGCTATCGATTTAATATTTTTTCTCGACATTGTTTCTTCTAGTCTAGATCATTAAGAAAAGCAGACATTAATAAAAATCAATAAAAATAAAAAGTAACCTCGAAGGTGATTGACAAAATACCGGTGTATGAAAAAAAACCCCAAAATTCTCGGGAGGGGGCCTGGTCATCTTGGCACCCCTATTAGCAACGCCAATGGCTGTAAAGAATTTTAAGAAAATTAAGAGATACTAAATTTATCAAAATTTCGGGCACAGGTTTGCTAAAAATACTTCTACTTAGCGTTCATAACCATAATGGCCTTTCTGCAATGATTGATTCTCTTAATTTATTTTCTGTTTTGTCACGGCTGGTTAAGCATATCTCGGTGGGTTTGTTGATCTTTTGGATAGCCAAGTTTAAGATTTATGTAAAACTTTCAAAATATCTAGGTTTTGGTTTCCCCTAACTGTCAACAAGAAATCCGATATTGAGAATAGATCTTCGCAGTAAAGTCCTCATAATTCTAAAAGCTACTAGGCATGTGTGTTGTGGTGGATATCGAATACAACGTATATCCGTTATGAGTCAGGTTACGCAGATCCTACGGACACTGAAGCCTAACGAGTCGTTTATCATACTTTCACTTTTTCATCTACACACTCTTACGGCAACGCCAATCTCTTTATCAATCGCATCACTTGATAGAATAAGTTTCAAGCATTATAATAGGTTACAAACTAAAGTAATTTTGCATGCGTTTAATATTAGGAATTTGCATAACGACTAGTATCGACATGGCTGGGAATACGAATAAAGCGTAAAACGATTTTAAACTACCACTTTCTTTTGACCTTGGCTTATTTTGAAATTATGTCATACTTCGACGAACGCGTTTCGGAATGTATGCTATACTCACATTGATGACCGTTGACAAAATGCCAGCTAATATCAGTAGTCCACATCTCGTCATAGCTTGCAGAATTCGACGCAATACTTTCTTAATGTTCGATTCCCAACTGTGTCTGCTTCTGTAACTGCTTCATATACGATTTCAAATTGATTATTATTTCTTTTCACTTCGCTCAATATCACCATAAAGCACATTCAACGATTATTGATCATCCGTGGTGCACTCACTAGTGTTCGAAGTGTCTCATAAATTAATGAGGCCACTTATGTTTTCTTCTTGATTTGTTTAGCAATGCTACTCAACATAAGCACATTTACGTAGAGTTTGTTTGAAATAGTGACACACGTAAATAATAACGAAAGCTAGGAGGAGTGGTGGTTCCACGCTTTCGCTCATATTAAAATCCCAATTCCTAATGAGCTTTGTAATGTCACTGGCATACCGACTTGTTTCTTTTGCATCTTTTGCCTTCCCACAGTTTTGGTGTTGGTGTCGCGGATATGAAGATTGGCTTTATTGAGCGCAGCAACAGGTTTAGAGGAATGCGAATTCCATGATCGATTTTTTTTAAAGTTGAGTTCCCGGGAAAAAATAACCATCAAATTACAAAAATAATATATTAAATAAATTACATTCCATGGATGTCAATTAACCCGCTAGAAATGCATATTAGACAAATTTTCATATGATTACTAAAAATAATTCTATGTTACTATGGCTTTAAACAATAGAAAAAAAAACCTACTTTCTTGTTAACAGCTTAAATTTGACTTTAATAAAGGATTTTTCTATGGTTAGGAAAACTAATAACTCAAATTATCTAGTTATTGAAAAGTTCAATTTTTATTAGGTTCCATAGTGGAAATAATAAGTTGCGCTGTATGGCCATAATAATTAGTTGCGAAAGTCAAATAAAGAATTCCGAAATATCAGCGAAATCTATTAAGTTTCTTAGAAATACCAACGTATCCAAATACAGTCTCCGTCAATTCAGATCTGTTCGATAGTCTGCAATTCGATAGCATCTATTTACTCGGTGCGCTTTGTTTATTGCCGGCAGCTCCAGCTCGGTCATTTTTTTTTTCGATGTGGTTGAAAGTAAACAACTGGAGATGCCCGTGAAAAAGAGCATTCGATTGAATTCAGCTATGTCAGTGCGAAACCAATGTGAATGTCACCATGTTCGCCAATTTAGAGAATGCACTGGATGTGAAACCCGTTTAGATGGAAACAACTTACAGAGTTGCAGAGGTGAAAATACAGTTAATAAAATTCAATTAAAATGAATTGATATGCTGCTGCATGTCTCTGAGTAATCATTTTTCCTATCAGAAAAGTAGTGGACGCATGCATGTCACCAATTAAATAACATCTGTCAATTTCGCTTTCAGTAGGTCACAATCAATTATTTTATGATTCGCTCATGAATCATAAAATCGGAATCATGATGCAAAAGCAGAAATGATACCTAGCGTGTTGTTTACAGTGTTAGGAGCAAAAAAGTGTAAATTTAACTTTTTCGATCAGTCCCTTAGTTCAAACACGAATATGTTTCAGTTTTGAAGTGAACACAATGTTTTAGCAAGCTAAAAATTATCTGCGCATTTTTGTAATAAATGCTTTCCATGAACCACGTAAACAGCTGGTGACAGAAAGTGACTATGGTACTTCAAACAATTCACGAGATTTTAAGACTAGACTCTTGAAATTGTGAAAGATGTCTTAAAATTAATATATTGCTACGTAATTTTTTAATAAATAGACTCGTATACCTTGTTCTGCGAGAATTTTTTTTTCAATTCATATAAATTTGAAATCCTCTCTAGATGTTGTCCGGAAAAGCATCATCTTGAAAATCGTTTTCAGGTGGGGGGGGGGTGTAGGGGGGTTCTGACAAATATTTCTCCGGGAAATGGGTCGTTCTGGTTAAATTCTGGTAAATTTCATAGAATCGTAAGAGAGCAATTTATGAAACCAGATCCTGGTCATTTATGAATTTTCTGTCTTAGGAAAAGTTGTTCAGATGATCTAGGGCCTTCTAGATGGTGAACAGGTATGTTTTGAATTCTCCCACTAGGTGGTACTAGTTTAGTGTGAAGTTTATGTTTTTATAAAGCAAAACAGCAAAACGGCAAAAAAATAGTATCGATCAACGTCAATATTTTGTACATCAGCATTAATTACGTTTTAATAGCAAATAGAAGATTCAATATTACATCCATGGATGTAGTTTGTTTGCGACTTCTGTGTACTTCGTGCAATGCAATATCACACAATCACCTAGTTGCAGCTGCCGGCGCCGGTGGTGAGCGTGACTGCTTTCTCACCCCAATGGGTCTGGGTTCAATCCCAGCCGAGGTCGGTGGGATTTTTCTGAGGCATAAAAATCTCTGGTCACGTCTTCCTTCGGAAGGGAAGTAAAACCGTTGGTCCCGGTCCATGTGTGTTGAATGGGTGCGATATCCTACGCAGGTGTAGAAGCTGCCTTCCTGCACATTCGATTGCCGTCAATGGATGGCAATCTATGTCCGTCGATGATTGCGGAATAGAGACCGACGTTAAATAAAGGAAAAAGAAAAGAACCTAGTTGTAGCTGTTTGGATATTCAAAAACATTTATATGTTGCTATCCTCACCATTTATAAAGTGGATGTGTTCGGCAAAGTTCTGCAAGTGATCAACGCTTTTTGGATAGCAGATAAATGAATTCATAATTTCTCACTGCGTACTGCTATTGTGCACATAAACTTCCAATATGTGCTATCTGGAGAGCTTGATCATCTAGGAAATTACCGTTTTCGGCAAAGTTGTTCAAGTGACTGCAGCTTAGTCTGTAGTGCTTTCTTGAAAATCATGAAAAATTTAAAATGCTCCGCTGGACCGAGGGGTGCCTCGATTGTTAAAAAAAAAATTGAAATTCTTAAAAGTTAAACTAAAATATACATCTCCTCCAATTTTTTACCAAATAGAAAGAGGTCAATTACATTTGCCTCAGTCACATGGCGCGGAATGACCCACTGTTATATATATTATATTTTTTTACTTATTTATTTAGTTGCTTCAACCTCATCTAACTGTGTTGTTCTAATTATGGATACGAGCATCAGGCCCACTCAAAGAGGCGAAAAAATGCAATATCGATTCCATTACATATATGTACATAATATAAATAAAAACAGATTGCACACTTGATACTGAATACAAGCAACAACAAAAATAAAATCAGTAAAACAATGTTCATCCTGTGGCTGGCGTCTGCATATCCCAAAACGGAAGTATCTCGCAGTACAGGTGCATTTTATAACTGAAACAGCTTCTAACAATGCAGATATCAATAAAGTAAATATATCAAAAGAGGTACTTTTTTAGTGGTTTCATTACCGTTGTGTCCTAAGAAGGCATTGCTGATTGTCAGCAGGAAATCAAATTGTTCAAGACTTCAACTGCGATTGGCCAAATGCAGGAAGTTACGTCGTCTCAAAGGCCGTTGCGGTACATATAAATTTAATTCGGCGAAAATTACTGGGGCGTTAATTTCATTAGTTAACACATTTGACTTACTTAGAAGGGCGGACGAAAAGAAAATTGAAAAAAAAAATGTTTTTTTTACATAATTTTTGACATTCTTTGCTTTAAATGTATCTCAGGATATACGCAAATTACTTTTTTTTCGATAAGTGTTTCTTATGTAAAAAAGGATGTGGAACATGATGGAAATACGTAAATTACTTTTTGTTGATAAGGATGGGGAACATGATGGTTCTGTCAGATTGGCAATCTATATATAACCATTCTGAGAAAAATGCGTTAAGTATTTAAACGCAAATGTAAAATCTTTGCCAAACTGTTCAAAAATAAATGAAAATAATATTAAGATACTTTGCCTAATTTGATTGGATATTGGTGTTCTTAAATGTTAGACTATAATAAGCATTCCTGCAATTTTGGATCAAATCGGAAGAGGTCAACTACACCTTTGGATTTTTTTTCTCGGTCACTTGGCGCGGAATGACCCACATATATACACTCTTGCGCCGCATAGTGAGACAGTTCAGAACTGATCTATCTACCATTCAAAATGCTTGGTCACCTAAAACTTTGCCAGAGATAACATCTTCCTGGATGAACAAGATGTTGAGGTGTAACGTAAACACGAAGTTTTTTTTTATATTCACTGCTCTTGGGTCATTCTTGACTCGTCCCGGGATAAAATTTGAGTTCGTCTCGTGACCACTATGCCAGGGCCGTCCCATAAATGTTAAACATGAAGTTGACATGAACACTAGCACCACGTAGTGAGGAAAGTCTAAACTAATCTTTTTCTCATCTGAAAGGCCTAACTCTTAGGCTGAAGCATCAACTGTGGACCTCCTTCCACTTGTAGTGTATTTTTCTACATGACTGGTCACCCTAAAATGCAACGCCATTTATGTATCTTCCCTTATCGACTAGGCTATCTGATACCCCCAATTGAAAAAAAATGTCTTCCCCACTAGCTTTGATTTGGTAGCCGTCAAATCTTCCTTCGTTTAATTTTGAGCTATACCCAAGTAACCATAGGCACGTTATTTCGCCATTTTGGTTATATACAGCTGAACAACGGCTCTACCAGTGTTTGCAAGTTCTGATGAGGTCCGTATATAGCCAAAAAGGCGAAATAACGTGCCTATGGTTACTTGGGTAGTTGCCATTGTTATAGTTGGCATGAACAAAGAAATTGATTACAAGCTTTTGTGAAATATGCCTGATTTATACGATACATGTAATATCGTGTAAATGTATCCCAACTCTAGCGCTATATGGCATATATATATATATCGCAGAAATTTGCTTGAATTTTAAGCAGCGATTGCTTATATCAGGCCTCTTTTAATAATTAATGATTTTCTTAAGAATTCGAACAGAATTTCAAGGTACAGATATACCATTCTTCTGCTCTGGCTAGTTTATTAGCTTTCATGTACCTATCATTAAATCACTAATGATTCAATACAGGTCCCGAGATGGCAGATCTTTTTGCACATTTGTTATACATTCATTAATTCTCTGATGAGACCAAATACCATCAGTTAGCTTCTCCTCGTTCAGAAAAGGTCTGCTGTGGACTGTTTATATTTTCTCGATCATATTTTTTCTTCTCATGATTCTTGCCTCTGCCGCAATAACCGGTCGTTGGCGGATCGTTTTAATGCCAATCGTTGTTCTTCCAGACAGGGCAATGTCTTTAGAAAATTGTGGGGATTGATGAAGACATATCATTACTCTTCTACTCTACTGCTTGACTTGTTTTTGCATGAAGAATGAATGTGTTCAATGGAATTTTGTTTTCATTGCGTAATACAATAAATTACGTTGACAATAATTCAAACAATATTGAAATAACTTCTCAATATACTATCTACTTTTATACACTGGAGTCTGGGTGTC